GATTATCATTGGTTCTTACAGGTTTTGGCATAGGCAGTGAAGTTAAGAGCAATGTTTTGGGGGCAGGGGTGAAGCTCACCAAGTACATTCTCAAGGGTGGGGAGAATTAAAAAGAAACTTCTTAAGGGTGGGGGAGATTATAAAGAACCTTCTTAAGGGTGGGGGAAATTACAAAGTACATTAATCTGTTAGGGTGGGGCAGAAACAAATCACAATGGTGGAATGTCATCAGTTAAGCTATTTTCACTTCTGTGGATCTTCAGTTGCTTCAGGCCATCTGGATGTAGACGTGCAGGTTGCTGGGGATATGATGGCTTAGCTTGGGCTCAGAGGCCTGACACTGAGATTTAAAGGACGGTGGCCCTCTTCTCACAGCTCCACTAGGCAGTGCCCCAGTAGGAACTCTGTGTGGGGGATCGGACTTCACATTTCGCTTTTGCACTGCCCCAGCAAAGGCTCTCTATGAGGGCTCCATTCCTGCAGCAAACTTCTGCCTGGGCATCCAGGTGTTTCCACATATCCTTTGAAATCTAGGTGGAGGTTCCCAAACCTCAATTCTTGACTTCTGTGCACCCACAGGCTCACCACCACATGGAAGCTGCCAAGGCCTGGGGCTTCCATCCTCTGAAGCAACAGCTTGAGCTGTACCTTGGCTCCTTTTAGTCACGGTTGTAGCAGCTGGGAAGCATGGCACCGAGTCCCTAGACTGCACACAGCAGAGGGGCCCTGTCCCGGCCCACAAAACCATTTTTTCCTCCTAAACCTCCAAGTCTATGATGGGAGGGGCTGCCACAAAGGTCTCTGGCATGCCCGGGAGCCATTTTCCCCATTGTTATGATGATTAACATCCAGCTCCCTCTTACTTATGTAAATTTCTGCAGCTGGCTTGAATTTCTCCTCAGAAAATAAGATTTTCTTTTCTATTGCATTGTCAGGCTACAAATTTTCCAAACTTTTATGCTCTGTTTCCCTTTTAAAACTGAATACCTTTAATAGCACCCAAGTCATCTCTTGAATGTTTTGCTGCTTAGATACCCTAAATCAGCTCTCTCAAGTTCAAAGTTGCCAAATCTCTAGGGCAGGGAAAAAATGCCACCAGTCTCTTTGCTAAAACATTACAAGAGTTACCTTTGTTCCACTTCCCAACAAGTTCCTCATCTCCATCTGAGACCACCTCAGGCTGTTTCATTGTCCATATCATTATCAGCATTTTGGTCAAAACCATTCAACAAGGCTCTAGGAAGTTCCAAACTTTCCCGCATTTTCCTGTCTTCTTCCGAGCCCTCCAAACTGTACCAACATCTGCCTGTTACCCAGTTCCAAAGTTGCTTCCACATTTTCAGTTATCTTTTCAGCAGCACCCCACCCATGGTATCAATTTACTGTATTAGTCCGTTCTCATACTACTGATAAAGATATATCCGAGACTAGGCAATTTACGAAAGAAAGAGGTTTAATGGACTTACAGTTCCATGTGGATGGGGGAGGTCTCATAATCATGGTGGAAGGCAAGAAGGAGCAAGTCATGTCTTACATGGATGGCAGCAGGCAAAGAGAGAAAAAGAACTTGTTGCAGGGAAACTCCGTTTTTAAAACCATCAGGTCTCGTGAGACTTATTCACTACCACAAGAATAGCATGGGAAAAACTTCCCCCATGATTGAATTACCTCCCACCAGGTCCCTCCCACAACATATGGGAATTCAAGATGAGATTTGGGTGGGGACACAGCCAAACCATATCATAAAGATACACATTTAACCTGGAAACCAAGGAGGCAGAGTAGGGATGGGGCAGAAAGAACCTTGTACCAAAAAATATGATATTTTGGTATCAGTTGGGGCTGACATGTGAAACCAAAAAGGAATGCGAACTAATCAAAACAGAAATGGTTTCATGGGAATATTTTTAAGGTACAAAGGGTCTAGATAAAGAAACTTCCTAAACAGGTGCTGGGTGGAATCAGAAGAGCAAAGAACAATCAGATCGTTTCAGAGGACTCAGCAAAGGAAAATTCCTACCTGAGCACTGAGAGTTAAACTTGAAGTCAAGCATGATAGTATGTCCTCTAGGGCTAAGAGAAAGAATGAACAAGCAGTCTAAGGATCAAAGAGATATGCAACCCTTACAGCTTAATAGTAATGTTAAACTATTAACATAACCTAGAGCGAGGCTGTATTCAGTAAATAAGGGCACCTATTAATTACTCCTCTACTTCAGCTTGAACTGTACTATTTCATTTTTGCACCCAAACCACTAAGTGCTCAAAGATGATGGTATTTGACTGGATCCCCATCATCCCCTTGAAGGGTGGTTGTTGACATGACTAGCAGAAAACTATTCTCTTGTGAAGAGTGACCTGGCTGATTCAGTCACACAGCATTTCTGACTAATGCTTATTACTGTATTAAGACCTAACAACTCTGGTCAACTTTGATTTTTATTTGTTTGTTTACTTTTGTGTCCTAATATTCTGCTGTTCCCCAGGACCAAAGTCTGTTTCTATCTATTGCCAAATGATCTGCCATGCATACCTATAAATGGAGGATTCATTAAGTGATTCTTTTCATGAGTGTACTACCAGAACCTAGCCTACCATCTATCATATGGGCCCCTAACCCCCAGGTCATGGACCGGTACCAGTCAGTGGCCTGTTAGGAACCAGGGCACACAGCAGGAGGTGAGCAGCAGACAAGCAATGCCACCTGAGCTCTGCCTCCTGTCAGATCAGTGGTGGCATTAGATTCTCCTAGGAGTGCCAACCTTATTGTGAAGTGTGCATGCAAGGGATCTAGGCTGCACATTCCTTATGAGAATCTAATGATAAATATAATGTGCTTGAATCATCCCATAACCATACCCCCATCCTGGTCTTTGGGAAAACTGTCTCCCAGAAACCAGTCCCTGGTGCCAAAAAAGTTGGGGACTGCTGATCTAGCACATAGAAAGCCCTCAACAAATATCAATGGAATGAGCAAATAAAAGTGATAATCAAATCTCTCTATGTAGGGGGAGTTTTACACATTTACAAACCAAGGACCCCTTGGGCAGTCTGTTGAAGCCTGTGGACCCCTTCTCAAAATAATATTTAAAAAGAGATAGCATAATAGAGGAAATTAATTATAGTGAAATACAGTTACAAAATTATTTTTTTAAATTGTGACATCATCACAAACATGCTTCTGTGACACAGGGTGGGCTTGCCAAGCCCTAGGCTTCTCTGCAGAGAGATCTGGCTGGGACAGTTCAGTGGCAAAACTACTGACGACATCTATAGAGTTTTTGTTCTTGGTTTCTCAGAGAAAACTCCTCCAAACTCCTGCTTGGGAAGCCCCTGTGCTCAGAGTGAAGTGGTAGAAAGCGGCCGAGGGAGTTTGCACAGTTCAATGTGTCCATTTTCACCATACCTGTCATTTTCTGTATGGTATCCCCATCCTTAGCTGTGCCCATTGTCCCTGAATGCACAGACCTTTTCAGTCTTCCCTTAGGGTGAGGAAGGCACAGCTGCTTATGTCAACAGGGGCAGAGATAGAATCAAGGGGTTACCTTTTTCTTACACAGACTTTCAGTCAGTCCTCCTGGGTCCTGCATCACCCGCATTCCTACTTCGAGGGATACCTGCTGCCTCCAATTCTTGAACCTTTTTAGGGGTCAGAAGTACAGACAGCCTGCTTTTAGGCTTCCCGTGTGACTGTCATCCATCTTCTAAAAGGGAGTTGCTATTTTCTCTTTTCCCTTTTGAGTGCATATCTATCTTATCCCTTTCCTTTTATTCTTGTGGGATGTATTAAGGAGGCAACAGTAAACAGATTTAATCTGCTACAATTTCCCGAAGTCGCCACTAAAATTTTTACAACGGCATAAAAAGTTTTAAAAATCAAATTTAGAAGTAAACGCTCAAAATTCACCTATTTTATAACTATGATATTTGTATCAAAGATGATCAATTTACTGTAATAACTATAGCTTCATGAAGGCAGAGATAATTTCCACTTCACTTATTATTGTATTGTCCAGTACCCAGCATAGTAGAGGTGATTAGTAAATATTTATTGTATAAGTAAACTAAATGAATATAGATGTGATTAAAAAATTAGGACCTGGAATTTTTATAATTTCAGCACTTATCTCACTCACCTAGGATTGCTTAAGCAATACTCCAAAAACCAATCAGAAATAGATATACCTAATTTGGAATCCAAGAATGATGTATTTTATAACAACAAAGTCCTTCACTACAAACATTTTACTATGATTCCATATTCCATACCAACAACTTCCTGGATAGAAATGAAATTGACATTCAAATTTACTTAGTTATCTTGAATAACTAGTAGTGCAGAAATAAATGTAACTTATATTACAACCATTATATAAATAGTATTTAATTACAACTAATAGATGTACAATTTTAAGTGTCATTAAATGCATTTGAAATATTAAACAAATTCTAATTAATACTGAAAATTAAAGTCCTCCAAATGTAAAATCTGCACATTAGCCACCACATTTTAATTCATGTTGAGCAAAAACCAGCAATATTATTTAAAAATTGGGTCTAGTAGATCTGTCATTCTTGTCAAGCGAATTCAAAGGGCCTTCATAGCATGTCCTACTTTGTTATCACAATGTAAACAGTGTGTACTTTGCTTTATGATTCTTTATTGGCCACTATCAAAGCCATAATTCTCCTGAAGGGCCAAAAGAGTTATTTAATTTTTCAGTCATATTTTATATATTTTATGGGGAAAGTTAAATGCATAGTGTCTTTTTTTTTTTTTAAATAAATAGAAATTCTGATATATCCATCATGGTTTACCGCGATTTTAACAGGACGGCTCCATATTAATTTTAAACTAAAAATCTCTACATTTTTCACGGACAAACCTGCACGAAAGTTCAGAATTCATATGGCAGTTTTCTGCTAAATGTTTATTCTACAGTTTTCATCCTTGTTTACATTCTGTTATTACTAACTTCAAATTAAAATATCATACTCACTTCATCAGCCACAAACTCCTTACTCAGACCAAAATCTGTCAGCACTACATGGCCATTAGAATCAAGCAGAATATTCTCAAGCTTAATGTCACGATATATAATCCCCAACTGCAAAAAGAAAGAAATATAAATTTTAAAATAATTTACAAAAAATGAATTAAGACAGTCTTTCTTGTCTACCTTTTTTTTCTTTTTTTAAAGGCATTTCCCTCCTCAGGATCCTGTGATGGCTCTTGGTGACTGGTCAGGGCAAATGGAAATTCTTTTATCTGCTGCGTTCCCTCAATGTCTCCAACCTACTTCTTTGTTCTCCTCGTGCACAGGGTCTACCTCGTTGGGTCAGCTTCTTTAGGACCTCCCTCTTGACTAGTGCTTCTTCATGTCTCTATTCTTCCTATTTCACTCTCACTCTAGATGACCTTCAGGTGCCTTTGTAGCAAATCCTTGTCCATCACTTCCTAATGGCTTCAGAAGAATTTCCTGACTAACTGGATCCCCTGGTCATTTCCTTGTGTTTCATCCTACAACACCTATGTTTACATTGTACTTACCCATACATGACTGATATTTTCTAGGTAGTTCCTATTTGTCTTTATATATTATTCACTTTTTATGTATTTATCAGGTATTTATGCAGTACATCATGTATAAAATAGGAAAATGTATAAAATAGGAAATTCATATAGAATTGCTGATTAACAGGCTCTTAAACATAAAGGTTGAAGATCACAGGTTAATTTTACTCAAACTTTAGTTCTTGTTTTTTTTTTTTTGTTTTGTTTTTGAGATAGGGTCTCACTCTGTCACTCAGGCTGGAGTGCAGTGGCGTGGTCCTAGCTTACTGCAACTTCAAACTTCTGGGTTAAAGCCATCCTTCCACCTCAGCCTCCAGAGTAGCTGGGATTACAGGTGTGAGCCACTGCACTAGGCTCAAACTTTAGTTCTAAATAAGCAAAGAAAATCAATTAAGTAACATTTATAGATCCCTCTGTTTTACTTTGCATTTATAAAACTTACTTATTTGTAAGTTCCATAGCAAAACACTTCAGCTATATAACAAATAAATCTATCCAACTCATATAAGAGGTGCGTGACCTGCACAAATTCTGTTTCATGTTCTCAGTTATGTCAGCCTGAATTAAATGTTTCTAAACTTAGAAACATTGCTTTCCTCAATGCTAAGAATATGAGAAAGTTTTAAATAATCTCTTAAAATGGAAATCAAAATTACATACAGAAAAACACTAAGGGGCAGGCACAGTGGCTCATGCCTGTAACCCTAGTACTTTGGAAGGCTGAGGCAGGAGGGCCACTTAAATCCAGGAGTTCAAGACCAGCCTGGGCAACACAGTGAGACCCATCTCTACAAAAAATTTTTAAAATTAGCTGGGTCGGGAGCAGTGACTCCTGCCTGTAATCCCAACATTTTGGGAGGCCAAGGTGGGTGGATCACCTGAGGTCGAGAGTTCGAGACCAGCCTGATCAACATATAGAAACCCTGACTCTACTAAAAATATAAAATTAGCCAGACGTGGTGGCACATGCCTGTAATCCCAGCTACTTGGGAGGCTGAGGCAGGAGAATCACTTGAACCTGGGAGGCGGAGGTTGCAGTGAGCCAAGATAGTGCCACTGCACTTCAGCCTGGGCAACAAGAGCAAAACTCCGCCTCAAAAAAAAAAAAATTAGCTGCGTGTGGTGGCACACATGTAGTCCTAGAGCTACTCGGGAAGCAGAGGCAGCAGGATCACTTCAGCTCAGGGTGTTTGAGGCCACAGCGACCTATGATAGCATTCCAGCAAGCGAGACCCTATGTCTATGTTTAGACCCTACGTCTCTATTTTTTAAAAAATGGAACCAAAAAGGGACAAGCGTGGGTGGCCCATGCCTATAATTCCAGCACTTTGGGAAGCCAAGATGGGAGGATCACTTGCACTCAGGAGTTTGAAACTAGCCTGGGCAGCATGGCAAAACTCTGTCTCTACAAAAAATACAAAAATTAGCCAGGTGTGGTGGTGCATGCCTATTGTCCCAGCTACTCAGGAGGCTGAGGTGGGAGGATCACCTCAGCCCAGTAGGTTGAGGTTATGGTGAGCTGTGATCATGCCACTGCACTCCAGCCTGGGCAATGGAGTGAGACCCTGTATCAACACAACACAACACAACACAACACAACACAAAAGTACTAGGCAATTTTCCTCTAAGAGTCTCAGTGTTCTATAAGACAGAAAAGAAAATGTCTAGAGCTTATATTGAACAGACATTGACTTGGAGCATTATACGCATCTAACAACCAGGAGATGCTTTTTCCTTAAAAACAACCTCTTTGGAAAATATTTTAGGAACAAATAATTTACTATCTGTGTCAGCTTATCACTCGCAAGTAAACATCCATTTTTGCCTCTTCCTGTGAAACCCAATGTTAGTAGCTTTATCAAGATTAACATTGCTGGCTTTGCGTTATATTTATTTGTATCTTTTTAGGGTAGTAAGATTAGGAGAAGATTAACCGAGATTTCATTTTTTATATTACTCTCATTCCGTATCAATTACAGTTATATCCAATATTCATTGTTATATTTACTTCTGTGTTTGACAATGAGCAAGTTTCACATAAATTAAAAACTGGATTTTTGGACAAGCACAGTGGCTCACACCTGTAATGCAACAATTTGGGAGTCTGAGGCGGGCAGATTGCTTGAGTCTAGTTCAACATCAACCTAGGCAACATGGCAAAACCTCATCTCTATAAAAGATACAAAAATTAGCTGGGTGTGGTGGCACATGCCTGTGGTCCCAGCTCCTCGGGAGGTTGACATGAGAGGATCACCTGAGCCTGGGAAGGTGGAGGCTTCAGTGAGCCGAGATTGCACCACTACACTGGACTTTCTAGCTTACTCACTGGAGCTATTCATTTTGTTTCTTACTCATATTTATGATGATTTCTACCATCATTTCTATATTATAAACTAATTGTCCTAAATCATAAATTTCAAAGGTCTTTCTTCGCAGCGTATTCCTGGGTCCAATAGTTTCTTGTATGAAAATGTCTTATCTTATATCCCACAAAAATCATCTTAAAGCTTGTTACCGTATCAAGAATTCTATCAAAAGAAGTCCAAGTGTCTGTTCTGCTACCTCAGTTTGAGTGCCTACTTGACTGCACCTCATTGCCCTTCCTCTCCATTGTGCTGCCGCCCTGCTCCCCAATCCCCTATTGCCAAAGGTTTCTTTCCCTCCTCGTTCTCATACATTTTTCATTCAGTCTCCCTAAGATTCCTACCCTTGAACCATCTCCCTTCACCTGGCAGGTCTTATTTCTGCTCTGGGCTGGATCTGCCCTTTTCCTGATCTCTTTTTTTCTGACATCTTACCATCATTTATTCTCACACCCTCACCCATCTGTTACCTCTACCTTGCTGCCTGCCCCTTTAGAAATGTCATCCTTCATCCTTCCTTTTTCCTTCAATTCTCTCCTTTCTTTTCTATGCTCCATAATCAGCACTTCAATCTCTATCTTAAACTAGTGTAGGACCTGAATACAACATGACGAGGAAGAGTGGCTTCATGATGTACCTGAATTGTCCTAATTTAAAAATTACTTGAGTATTTTCTGTCTCTGAGGAAAAACACAAGCCCAGTCTACATAATGACTGCTTCTACAATATTTCCTTATTAAGTAAAACAAAAAACGGAGTCAAAATTTCTTGGCTCAAGATTAATGGTATCTGCAATAACATTTCTTAAAGTTTAAACTGATTGTTACAGTTTGAATAGGGTCACAGACATGAATTCCATTTAAAGTTTTTAGTAAGAGTTCATCCTACCTGGGGACAATGGAGGAGAAAGGGGGTGGGAGCAAGGGACGGTGTCAGGGACAAAACAAATGGAAAAGAAAGCCAGAGTGCGAGAGTGGGAAGTAACTCTTATTCTCCAACCTCATCAGGATACACCCTGAAGGTTTACAGGCAGAGTCTGCAATGCAGTAAATTACAATGAAAGAAATACATATTATGACTGATGGTTTCATTTTATTGGTTATTTTAATAATTAAAGGTTTTTATTTTAATGATACTTTATAACAAATAAGCATTAGGATTTTTCAGGAAAAAAGGTCAAAAACTGCTTAAGTTCTTTTCAATCTCCATCATAGCAAGTACAATTGGAAAGTAGATTTTTTTCAAACGGAATTATGAAATTGAGAAAATTGGTAATGTTCTGTAAGTGTGCTTTCATAATCTCCACTAAGACAATAACACGTAAAAACATGAGCTCTTCTAGCTCCATTATTACCTTAGTTAACAAACTTCAAAAAAGAAACTTGAAAAGTCAAGTGTCTTACCTTGTGGAGATGTTCGAGGGCAAGCACAATCTCTCCAACATAAATCTGCACCTCGTGCTCTGTGAAACGCTCTCTTTGAGAAAGATGAGTAAAAAGTTCTCCACCATTTATATAATCTAAAAATGAAATATATTTTTCTTTCTTAAACTTGTATTCATAAATGAAAAGCAGTGTTTCCTTTTAATCACTTTGGATTTATCATAAGGCACTGATTTTAAAATACTGCTATTTATACAATTTAGCATATAGTTTCATGTAGATTTCTAGATTCAGATAGCAATACAGTTTCACAAAAAAAATGATTACCTTAAATATATTCATATGAGTTTGCAAAGAGTATTGCCATTAAAACTATTGCTAAAATCTGCATATATTTAAATATTTTTTTCAAATACAGCATATCAGAAACCTCTGCCATCACCATATAATGCATACTTAACCTACTCTGGAGTACCAAAACATCAGCCACCACAATAACCAAAACCAAAACAAAACACAAAGTCCCATCCTTCCATTTGTAATAATTGCCAGTCACCTGTAAACAGATTCCCTATTTTTCAGAATTGTCTACGTGCACTTCCAAAAATTTATATTAGGTAATAGATACCCTTTTATTTAGCCCAAAAGTATAAGTATTACAACTTGGTCAAATCAAAGATTCTAAAAGTAGAAGATTCCTATTTTCCTTTCAATTTTCTCTGTTTATCCCAAGGGGGATAATGAAATATGTGACCAAAAGGCTACATTAAGAGATAAATAAGGGAGCTGGTTAATTTTTTAAAAAACCAAAATAGTTATGTTGACACATGGTTGTAAGACATTTCTTCATAAACTCAGAACTTATTTATCATTCATTATTTTAGGTGACAACTATACAAATTAATATTAGAAACTGCTCAAAATCCTATAGAATAAACTTTTGCCAAATAAATGTTGCAAAAAAGCTTTAAATTAGTTTCATCAGAAACCACTGATACATTAACACACAGTATTTGTGTGTGAGAAACTATTAACAACTAGAAAAGTCACAAATGCAATTTAAAGCTTTTCTCCTGAAAAATCTGAAAAGCGTATATCCCAAGTATATTCACTTGTTGAGTTTACCACAATTTGATAAAAGAATGGAATTCTTCATGAACTCACAAATTTTTCTTTTACTTTGTCCATTTAACTTCAAATTCCAAAAAGCAGGTACAACAGAATTAAAGAACTCTAATAGCTAGTTGTTTTGCAATGCATTTTACAAACCACATGTCAGCAAAAACCATTTCCCTTCTCAGGCTTCTGTATTTTACCAAGGAGTTTTAATTATATCTGAACACAAAGCTAATTATTAAAAAAGTATAAAGGAACACAGGATTCCTGCAAATTAATAATGAATTTTTTCCTACCTTAGTTATTTACTTAAAAACCCAATAGTCGTGTTTATGCATAAATGGTTTCCATAGTCAGTCATGATACAGAAAGAAGCACGCATATATCAACTGACAAACTCCTACATAGCCTTGAATGTCCAATTCAATCATCTCATCTTCTATGGCCACTCCAGCAGAGTTGATTACTTTCTTCTATGTTACCATTATACTTATTTAAGACTTCCAGCACTGCAGTTATCTTGCTATACTGTAACTGTTTATTTGCATACTTACTTTCTCTGCTAAAGTAAGGATTAATATATTCATCACTATTTACTCATCATAGTGCCTGAATGCAGTAAGCACAAAACAGATGTCTATGGCATTAACAATTGAACACAAATTCTTAATACTAGAATATATTATAAACACGGTCTCTGAACAAAACCACTCTGAAACTTAAGAGGCCAGTCAACTATTTAAAAAATCTAATGTACTCCTGTTTCAAATGCAACATGGCATAGTTAAAAGAAACAGGGCTTTGTAATTGATGGACCCGAACTAGACAATGGCTCCACAGCTGTCCTTCCTTAAGCAAATTAAGTCTCTCTGAGCTTCAGTTCTTTATCTACAAAACAGGAATAACAACTACTTATGAATTATTGTTACTTGGGACAAAGTGCTTTATTTTCCACTTACTAGGAGATTACGAAAAAGTAACCAAAAATCTAAGAAGACATACCTCAAATACCAAGTGTCCTACTTCCTCCTTTTGGGCTGGATTGACTTGACATCATAAAATAAGTTATTTTATTTTGAGGGGGCAGTTATGGGTTGTATACTTTATAAGTTGAACAGCAAACTCTATGAACTTGAGAATGCATGGGTGATGCAGTGGTGAGCACAGCTGCTTTCAATCCACGAACACGTGATGTCTTTCCATTTATTTAGGTCTTCTTCCATTCTTTCAACAATGGTTTGTAGTTTTCAGAGTATACGTTTCTGTGATTCTTTTGTTAAATTTATTCCCAAATATTTTATTCCTGTTGATCCTAAAGTAAATGGTTTTAACTTCATTTTCAGATTGTTTATTCCAAATGTATAGAAATATAATTGATTTTTGTATGCTGATCTTACATACTGCAATTTTGCTAAACTTGTATATTAGTTCGAGTAGTTTCTGAGTAGATTCCTTAGGACTTTCTATTTATAAGATGTCATCTTTAGATAAGAGTTTTTCTTCTTCCTTTCCAACCTGAAGGCCTTTTGTGTCCTTTTCTTGCCTATAATGTTGAATAAAGTGGGAAAGTGGATATTCTGTCCATGCTCCTGATATTACGGGGAAAGCATTTAGTCTTTAACCATTAAGCATTATGTTGGCTCTTGGTTTTTCCACAGATGCCTTTATCAGGTTAAGAAGTTCATATTCGGCTGGGCACAGTGGCTCACGCCTGTAATCCCAGCACTTTGGGAGGCCGAGATGGGTGGATCACGAGGTCAGGAGATCGAGACCATCCTGGCTAACATGGTGAAACCCTGTCTCTACTAAAAACACAAAAAATTAGCCGGGCGTGGTGGCGGGCGCCTGTAGTCCCAGCTACTCGGGAGGCTGAGGCAGGAGAATGGCATAAACTCGGGAGGCGGAGCTTGTAGTGAGCCGAGATTGTGCCTCTGCACTCCAGCCAGGGCGACAGAGCGAGACTCCGTCTCAACAAAAAAAAAAAAAAAAAAGAACTTCACATGCATTCCTACTTTGTTGAGCATTATCATGAAAGAGTTGAATTTTGGCAAATACTGTTTTTCTACATCTATTGGGAGGATCATATGCTTTGTGTTCTTTATTCTGCTGATATGGTATATTAAACTGACTTTTGGTTGGTAAACCACTTTTACACTACTGGGATAGATTCCACTTGGCCATGGAATATAATTATTTTTGTTACTGGATTTGGTTTGATAGAATATTGTTGAGAATTCTGCATTTATATTCATAAGAAATAATGATCTGGGCCTGCCACGGTGGCTCATGTCTGTAATCCCAGCACTTTGGGAGGCTGAGACAGGAGGATCACTTGAGGTCAGGAGTTTGAGACTAGCCTGGCCAACATGGTGAAACCCCGTATCTACTAAAAATACAAAATTAGCTGGCATGGTGGTGCACACTTGTAATCCCAGCTACTCGGGAGGCTGAGGCAGGAGAATAGCTTGAACCAGGAGGCGGAGATTGCAGTTGGCCAACTGCACTGCAGTCTGGGCCACAGAGAGAGACTCAGTCTCAAAAAAAAAAAAAAAAAAAAGGGAGAGAGAGATAATGGTCTGTAGTTGATACCCCACACATTAAATATAAACCTGTAGGAAGGCTGGGCACGGTGGCTCACGCCTATAATCCCAGCACATTGGGAGGACAAGGCGGGCGGATCACGAGGTCAGGAGATCGAGACCACCCCGGCTAACATGGTGAAACCTCCTCTCTACTAAAAATACAAAACAAAATCAGTTGGGTGTGTGGCGGGTGCCTGTAGTCCCAGCTACTCGGGAGGCTGAGGCAGAAGAATGGTGTGAACCCCCGAAGCGGAGCTTGCAGTGAGCCAAGATGTGCCACCGCACTCCAGCCTGGGTGACAGAGTGAGACTGGGTCTCAACAATAACAAAACACTAGTAGGAGGGGTTCCAAGGTGGCCGAATAGGAACAGCTCAAGTCTACAGCTCCCAACGTGAGTGAGGCAGAAGAGGGGTGATTTCTGCATTTCCAACTGAGGTACTGGGTTCATCTCACTGGGGCATGTCCAACAGTGGGTGCAGGACAGTGGGTGCAGCGCATTGAGTGTGAGCCCAAGCAGGGCGAGGCATCGCCTCACCTAGGAAGTGGGAGGGGTCAGGGAATTCCCTTTCCTAGCCAAGCAAAACAGTGACAGACGGCACCTGGAAAAATCGAGTCACTCCCACCCTAATACTGAGCTTTTCCAATGGTCTTAGCAAACGGCATACCAGGAGATTATATCTCGTGCCTGGCTCAGAGGGTTCCATGCCCATGGAGCCTCGCTCATTGCTAGCACAGGCAGTCTGAGATCGTACTGCAAGGCAGCAGTGAGGCTGGGGGAGGGGCGCCCGCCATTGCTGAGGCTGAGTAGGTAAACAAAGTGGCGGGGGAAGCTCCAACTAGGTGGCCCCCTGCAGCTCAAGGAGGCCTGCCTGCCTCTGTAGACTCCACCCCTGGGGGCAGGGCATAGCCGGAAAAAGGCAGCAGAAACCTCTGCAGACTTAAACGTCCCTGTCTGACAGCTTTGAAGAGAGTAGTGGTTCTCCCAGCACGGAGCTTGAGATCTGAGAACCTGAGAAGGGACAGCCTCTCCTCAAAGTGGGTCCCTAACCCCCAAGTAGCCTGAGAGGCAACCCCCAGTAGGGGCAGACTAACACTTCACACGGCCGGATATCCCTGAGACGAAACTTTCAGAGGAACCATCAGGCAGCAAAATTTTGTGTTCAGCAATATTTGCTGTTCTGCAGCCTTCGCTGCTGATACCCAGGCAAACAGGGTCTGGAGTGGACCTCCAGCAAACTCCAGCAGACCTGCAGCTGAGGGTCCTGACTGTTAGCAGGAAAACTAACAAACAGAAAGGACATCCATACCAAAACCCATCTGTATGTCACCATCATCAAAGAACAAAGGTAGATAAAATCACAAAGATGGGGAAAAAACAGAGCAGAAAAACCGAAAATTCTAAAAATTAGAGCGCCTCTCCTCCTCCAAAGGAATGCAG